CTTACTAATTATTATGTGGGTCCCACCGGACCCACATACACTCTTTGTGTGACAAAATGAGGACACCGTTCGAGTGTTAATGCTATTGAAACTGAATTAAAACAATTAGAACGAAAGAGCATTTTGTGTTCTCTGAATTATTTTCTTTATTTGTTTATTTCTAGATCATCATGTCAATGTAAATCGAGGTACACTGCCGTATTAAAATTTAAAAGGAACATTATTGTTTTTTTAAATCGGTTTTTTTGCTTCTAAAGACATTTTTTGTTTCTTTGATCTTAAGAAATAAAAACAAGAAAACTAATTATTTTATTTTTATATTGTTTTACTATTCAATAAAACACTACTATTGGTTATTCAAATAAATTATAATCGAACATTGACCAATATCGCAGTCACTGCATATGCAGCTTAATCATTCCATCACATTGAATAAATGTATTATTCGCAAAAATAAGAATTGGTGTACTATCTTTCAGAAAAAAGTCGTTTCGTTCGACCTATCAATAGCAGATGCACTTCTCACCAGCGATGCCTATAGATTAATATCGGGCAATGGAAATTTTGAAAGAATTCTGATTTATCTGAGATTAGCGTCAGATAAGAAACAAGTTAAGACTATATTCTTGTGTGGGGGAATTGCTTTTTTTATCCTAAATAACCATCAAGGAAAAGTTTGTTACCCAGGTAGTGAAAAGGACTATGATGGATAATGACAGAATGTTCCTTTAACTTGTTCAGCTATAAAATAACAAACTGTTTTTACTCAAACTTTCCATATTCGAAAAGTTATTTTGATTATTGTATATAAATATTGGCATGTTCATATACTTGAATTTTAAAGTTTTTTTTATCATACATTAAGAATATTTTGTTCATGTTTATGAAATGAATGCATTTACGTTATATCATATGATGGCAAAAATATCATAAATTGCATAACGACAGATATATATTATATTCTTACGGCATAGAACAATATAAATCTGATTTAAGAGAAATGTGTTTTAAAAAGTTTCACAACTACTACATGTCGCTGACTATTTTTTTTTCCAAATGAGAATATTATAAAAGATTACTTTTGAATTTCTTGAACTAGACTACAGTAAATCTTTAGATCAGCACATATGATTGTCAATAGAAAACGAGGTTGCTTGCACTGCTTCAACTTTATTTTGAATCAGAACTGATTGAAAATATAATCTAATTGGCTACGGCATGTTTGAAATGATATTAAACAAATGATGAAAAAGGTCTTGAAGCGAATTAGATTCTTCCAGAGTATAGACGATTGTAATCCTAATTATTTGTTCATGTTAGAATCGAAATAGTTTATCTTGGACACTAACTAATTCATATTATCCATTTGACGTAATCTCTAGTAGAAAGACAGTCTGAGAATACTGCCGATTAAGTATAGTAGCCTAAGAAAGAAACTTAAATTAATAACACTCAGTAAACCATGATATAAAAATATACTAATATCCAAGAAAACGCCAATAATTATGTATCCAAGACAATCCGAATTAGAAAACATTCTAACTTAAAAAAAACTTTTATTAGGAATCATTCTGTGATTATAATAGTTATCATCATCCAAATGAAGTGGCAAGCGTGTTATTATTATTTCAAGTTTTAAAATATGGTATGCTGTCATACCCTATATGAGTCATACTTGTGTTATCAGATTGTAACGTCATTTATGCACTTGATCTATAGTTTCGGGCCGATGATTCCTATACTACAATTTAGGCATACAACAATTCTACATGTAATTTACAATCGAATGATATACTTCTGATTAGGGAGCGATTTCTCTAAATTTGATTTCTAGATCGAAACATTTTGCTTGTGGGGAGCCCTCTTTAATTTTCGTCATAATGGTGGTTTGACATATGCTGAATGAAAGCTTATGTCGAAGCTGTCAAATATTTTGACGATTTTTTTCTTCATCTATTTTCCCTATATAATACGGATTTTTATATCTCAGATGAATACACAATCAACAAAAATAATAAAAACAAAACCAACGTCGTCATTAACCAATAAATGTTCTTTTGATGATGACTATGATGAAGCTACAGAAGATGATTTTCGAATGGAAAATCAAATATATATTGATTGTGAAGATAATGATGAGGATGATGAAGATGAAAGTGAACTTGAATTTATAAATGAAAATGAACTAAGTATGAACTTTATTATTGTTCTCTATCCATCGTTATTTTATTTTTATTTAATTAGAGTGATAAAAGTGATTATTCAAATAATGATGAAACTCAATCAATTG